AGAGCGCGAGTATGCCGGCGGAGCGCGGTTGTCTAGCGCGTAGCCACACCCACTGGTGGCGCTCCACCGGCATACTCGCGCTTTGATTGGTCCGGGGTTTTCCGTTAATATCTCCTGAACGAAGCCTCGGACAACATTTTTGCTAAGGAAAAAGTTGTTCCAAATCACCTCCCGAACCACTTCTTTCAAGCTGTTACAACATTTTTGGGACACCCTGTATAATATATATATAAATAATAAATATATGTATAAATATATCTGTATATAAGTGAATTTTGCGGAATGTAATCGACTCATGAAATTTCAGCGTTGTTCTTTTTCTTTTTTCCAGTGCAAACAAAATGCCTTTCAAACCAGTAGAACACCCCAAGTGTCCCAAATGCGGCAAATCCGTGTACGCCGCGGAAGAACGTGTCGCCGGAGGGCTCAAATGGCACAAGATGTGCTTCAAGTGTGGTAAGTAAACGATAATCTATTTTATCCATCGACAGATTTATATTTACTCAAGCCTGCAACGGTGTTCGTAAAGGCAGCGTTCTACGGGCAAACAATTTCCAGGAAATGTGTGATAATTTACGTTCGAAGATAATTGAAAGGATAAATTTCTTGTTAAAAAAAAATTATTAGAAAATTGTAGATTCGCGTTTGAAAATAACATAGAAATAAAAATTCCCCGTCGATTGACAAGCGATCGCGTCACGATCGAGCTGTCAACAAGCACAGGATCGATTTCGCGAATCACCATCGGGCCTCTTTAAATATAGCCGCGTCCATAAATAAATTTTCACGCCGGTCCCGGATGGTTTGTCTTGGCCTTAATTAGTTTTGCGTGCCGGCCAGAAATCAATTGGAACCACCCAACAGCCGAACGAAAGGTGCAACGACCCGCGAGTGACTCGCGCCGATTTTAACAAAAATTCCGGCACTGCCATCACGCTCGAAATAGGACGCCCACCAAACCGTCCATCGTCGCTCGCCCAAACCGTTGAATTATCATTTAAACGCCCCGAGGAGCCCAAAATAAACGGCGAACGGGAAAATTCTCGCGGTTATCAACGTTTATTCGGTTAGGACGTTCGAATTCTTGTCAGTCTTCGTTTGTCCAACTTAGATACTTGAATAAATGATCGCTCGGGCTATTATTCGCGGCGTTGTTCGATCTCTCATACAGTCGAGGCTTGTTAATTCCAACGAAAAACTGTTTCATTCCGATTAATTGGGATTAAATGGAGATCAATAAGGGACGTTTGGATTTCGTTTTTCGATTAAATACGATTAGTGGAGAATAGCGGGATTATATGGCCGATGTACGGTACGAACATAGGGGACGGGGAGTTGGTCATTCGGTAAGGCGAGCGACTGCGAGTCTAGGAGTCGTAGGTTCGATTCCTCGACGATCCGATACCATTTTTTCTCGCGATTGTTTATCGATTACTGTGTAGGATGACTTCACGTGACGACTGGGTATAATAATAATTGTGTACGACACCTATGTACGATAATAATTGCACATGACGACTTTGCACGACGATTCCATATGACGAC